AGTATGAGTTACAACTCAATATAAAGAAAACAAAAGTCATTACAATGGGATCAGTAGACAACATAATAAAATAGGGAAAGATTGAAGTTTTAAGAATTTCACTTATTTGATTTCATAACAACTCTCATGGAGGCAGAAGTCAAGATATCAAATTACATACTGGATTTGCAGTTCTGTTGCACAAAATCTCTGTAGTTAAAGAGAATTAAAGTGTTACATAGAAAAGATGTCACTTTGAGGACTGGCCCAAGTCCTGGTATTTTCAAATGCCTCATACATGCATGTGAATGCTAGACAATGAATATGGAGGTTCAGAGAAGGATTGATGCATTTGAATCATGGTGGTGAGAGAATAGACAAGAAAGACCAAAGCGGGTATCAAAAGAGACTGAAACTTGTTCGTGACTATACAATAGCTAAAGCCAACCGAAGAAATGATGGAGTAAACGAGCCCAACAGAAAATTTCAAAGGACAACTTAAGAAAACAAAGTAGAAAACACAGTGAAAAATGTAAAGACCAGGAGCTAGAAAACCAAAGAGAGAGAACACAGTCAGCGTTTCTCAAGGTAAAAGGACAGAAGAAAAAATTCAAGCCTAGAGTTGCAACACTGAAGGATTCTGGGGAGAAAATGCTGAATGATGCAGGGACTATTAAAAGAAGATGGAAAGAAAACAGTCACTGTACCAAAAATAACTAGTCAACATTCAGCTATTTCAAGATGTAGCATAGGATCAAGAATCAACAGTCTTGAAGGAATAAGTCCAAGATCTATTGACAGCATTAGCAAAAAGCAATGCTCTGGTAATTGAGGAAATACCAATTGAAATGTTTCAATAAACTGATTCAACCTTGGAAGCATTCACTAGAATTCACAAGAAATTACCTGACCAACTGACTGGGAAAAAAAAATCTGTATTTGTACTTCTTCTAAAGAAAGGTAATCCAACACAACACAGACATTATCAAACAATATCATTAATATCACATGCATGTAAAATTTTGAACAAAAAGTGGGTGAAGGGAGACATCGGTCAGTTAAGACATGAAAAAATAATGATAATTTATAAACTATCAAGGGTTCTTGAGGGAGGGAGGGTGAAAAATGAAGAGCCGATACCAAGGGCTCAAGTAGAAAAGAAA